GTTGATTAAATTAATAAACACTGCTTACTTAGTAGATAAAAAGCTTTCAGAAACACAAGGTCCCTGGGGACGAAAGTATGTTGTTTCAAAGGTAGGGAACCACTTACTCATTTCAATCTCTTTATTTTATAGCTGAGGTAGCTAACTAAGGCTTAGCAAAGTAAAGAATTTGACCAGAGTCCTTAGGTAAGGGAACCGCCAGTCAAATCCAATCCAAAGAGACCACTTGTTCCCGCTCTTGTAGGCTGTCTGCTTCCTTGGAGATACTCCTACTTCTGTCTTTCCACTCCCAAGTATGCTCTACTACAGTCGTTACTATAAATTGTGACAATTTCTGTTTTCATATTAAGTGCTAAGAAAATACAACAAGCTGCTATCCCAGAAAAATCTTAGATGATGATGATGGTAATAATAATAATAAACACAGGGAGAAAAGAAATGGTATTTGAGTATGATACAATAATAATAATAATAATGATAATAATAATAAAAAAACACAGGGAGAAAAGAAATGGTCTTTGACTATGATACTTTCCACTGGGCAAATTCTAGTTTTAAAAACAGCAGCAAAAGCTTGGTGGATATATTTTTAAAAAATGACAGATCAGCTGCCTGTGTAATCATAACGTGTACATGGTTATCCGTGGCCCCATTTACCCTTCCATCCAAGGACCAGATGTGCCCTCTAAATTAGGGGGCTGGATAATCAGACAAATACAAATTGAGGGGCGTTCTGCAAACAACTATCAATGGGCTGGAAATGGGGAACCACTCTGGAATAAAGGAAACCTAAAAGACATGACAATTAAATACAATACATGACCCCTAATTGGATACTAGATGAAAACTAAGCAAAACAAACTAAAACCAGCTATTGGAAAACAAAACAAAACAAAACACCCCTGCTATAAGGGATACAACTGGGGCATCTGAATATGGACTCTGTGTTAGATGATGCTACTTAATTAAGCGTCTTGAGTATGACAGCCATAGAGTGGTTATGCAGGAGGATGTCTCTGTTCTTAGAAGATAGTTAGAAGTGTACAGAGAGCAAAAGGATACATGTGTCTAACTCTCAGATGGGGGCATGGGAGGAAGGGAGGGAGAAAGGAAGGAAAGGAAGGAAAAGTGCTCATGCATGTGCATGCAGAATGCAGAACAGGCTTGTGTCATTCACAAATACACAAAGAGGTGAAAGGTATGTGAGTGTTCACATGACTATTCTTACAACTTTTCTGTAGGTATGCAATTTTTCAAAATAAAACACTGGGGAAGAACTTAAGAGTGCCAGGAAGTAACCCTGTTGTGTGCCTAGAAGGGAAAGATGGGGCCCCTAGAGCCCAGCTGTTTCTTACACTGACTGCATGGCTGCAAAAGGATTCTCTGTTTTAAGATTTGACAGTCTGTTGTCAACCAAAGGGAAGAGGGCAAGTCTGAGTGTCTGGAACATTTATAGGTTAAATTTCCTCCACTGGGATATTATGGAACTTACATGATTTTTAATTAAGAAGGTAAACACCCTAACATTTACTAAAAAAACCACTTAGTACAAACTAGTTACACATTTGGTAAGAGTATAAATATTTTTGGAGTTGAAAAAGCCAATAAAAGGTAAAATCATTCTGATTTTAATGTTCATGTACATGTGTTCACTGGTTACTGCTTTGCATTTAATTTAAGACGGACTTTTTAATAAGCAGAAAATGTGCATTTTTATATTGTTTAAATTTTAATATGGATTTTTGTTCAAAACAACACAGACATTCAGGCTACTTGTAAATGATACAAGATTTTTTGCTAATGAGGCATTATGTAGAACATATGCAAAAATCACAACTCAGTCTTCCAAAATAGACCACAATAACAGGAAAAAACATGATTTTAATAAAAAAGAACAGCACTGGGCTTTTACTTCAAAGCAATTAAGGGCTTTGGATAACCAAAAGTTTATGTCAAGTTGATGCCAAACCAAACTGGTCTATTAAACACATACTCTGAAGAGTTTCTGTAATATTCTATGAAAAAGCTCTTTGCCATAAATATCGAGCACTGCACTCTGAAGATTACGACTACGTTAGGTTCATGTTTGAGAACAAGGAGCCCAACATCCTGATCAGACTTCTAGAATTTCAAATTTGAAATAATGCATCCGTGAAAGAGAAGTTAAATATGTTTTCCATTTTGTGATTTTTCTTTACAGTAAATTATACCAAGTTTTATATTCTCCCCAGCCTTTTTTTCAACAGTTTTCCATTAGTCTCAAAAATTTGCTGTTACATATAAAATTTTGAGCTATGTGTAAACATACAAGAAAAAAAGACTTAAAGACCTTTATTGGAAGTCATTTCTTCAGTTTTCTACAACTATATTTCAAGGAACAATATGCTATTTACTAAAGGTACCTTTCCTTTCTAAGCAAGTAACATGCGATTTTCAATATTATAAAATCAGTGAGGTAGGATACTAAGTGGTTTATTTCTTTGGCCTCTGCAACAGAAGTTCTTTTACCTATAATACTCACTTTCTCTTACTTCTAATTCCTGACAAAAGAGATTGCTATCAAGTGAATAATCCAGCTCCCTAAGGAGGGCCTTAGTTTAGTTTTTAAGGTAAACTCGTTGAAGTGTATATGTTGGTGTCTCTTGCTGGCAATATTTATAGGAGAAACCGCACATACCTATCTGTCGCTCCATTTCTTCTGCTGTTCTAGTCCTGGATTGAAGGACTTTTGGATCTATCTTTTAATGAATATTAAATATTCATTATTTAGGAACTGGAATTATCTAGGAACTGGAATACTGAATATTATATATTATATATATTATATATATTAATATTATATATTATTTAGGAACTGGAATTATTATCTAGGAACTGGAATACTGAATATTCCAGTTCCTAGACGATCATATCCCTTTGGAAGAGGCCATGGCCAAAACAGCGTCCATCTTACTCTTTGGGAATTCAAGAAATATAACAGAGAAAGTAATCTCTGATAACCCTGTCCTCAGCCATGGAGTAAAGGTGATGGGGTACGCTCTAAGCTTGGGCTTGGTCTAAGCATAGAATTTTTATATTTAGGTAATATCTTAAATATGGCTGTTAGTAATTTATTAAGGTCATATTGAGTTTTGGGGTCTGGTCCTGTCGCATTGTTTCTCAGAAGGAATTGTGTCTTGGTTTTCCAAGACCAAGTCTAATCAGTTCTTCTTCCTACAGGAACAGAGACTCTTAGGTATTCAAGCTGGTTCAAAGACAGGCTTCAAATTGTATTGCCTAATATAATTCTCAAAAATATTCATGTTTCTTTTGCCTTGCTCTTAGAAGGATATATAAATATCACTAAATATACAGGATTTCATTATATAATTTAATTTTATATATAATCAGAGAGAATACTAATCTTTTGAATCTTTGAAATATAAAGCTTCTTATATTTTCAGCCCATTTTATTGTTCTTTCTAAAAAAATTTTATTTTTTAAGATTTTTTATATATTTATTTGACAGAGAGATCACAAGCAGGCAGAAAGGCAGGCGGAGAGACGGGGGAAGCAGGCTCCCCATCGAGCAGAGAGCCCGATGCGGGGCTCAATCCCAGGACCCCGAGATCATGACCTGAGTCAAAGGCAGAGGCCTAAACCACTGAGCCACCCAGGCGCCGCTCATTTTATTGTTCTTAAAACAAGTCTCATATGATGAATCTTTTCCTAGTTTTTTCAAACATTACCACGGCAGGTTAGTTTGTTAAAGGAGGATTAAACTCTGAATCCAAAATGAGAAACCAGAAAATCATACTGGTTTTTCTACATGAGAACTTAGCCACATAAGCATCATATCATATACACTGGAGAGAGGAAAAACAAATAGAGGATCTAGGTCTGGTTTAAAAAACATTAAGAGAGAAATAAGAGACATAAGAGATGTCAAATGCAATATGTAGACCTCATTTGAATTCCATTTTAAACAAACAAGAGAAGACACGTTCAGGGAATTCTGAATATAGACTGGTTATTAGAGGGTATCAAGGAACTGCCGTTAATTTTGTGCAATAATGGCATGGTGTTACATTAAAAAAAAATGCCTATCAGAGATATATACCGCAGTATTCCTGGGAGAGATGACATCTTATATGCTTGGGGCTAATTAACTGAAGAAAATAAAGGTGAAGGGAAGTGAAACAAGATTGGGAACATGTTAATGATTGTTTAAGCAAAGTGCTGGATACCTAGCCATTTAATGTGCCACTCCCTCTACTTCTGGGTATCCTTGGTCCAAGAAAACAAATAGAAGGGAAACAAAGGGAAAGAAAAAAAGAAAAAAGGAAGGAATGGGAGAATCATTTGAGGAAGAATATGGTAATAAGATAAAGTCTTGTTGGAAACATAGTGTTAAAGTATAAAACAGGGGAGATACTTTGGGAACCAAAAGTATTAGGAAGCAAAAACGACACAAGGAGGATGGGAAAGAAAATCCAGTACATCAAAAATGAAGAGGTAGCAAGGAGACCGCTGAAGGGCCCCCTCGGCACCCACAATAATCAACAGAATTTGAGGCAAATTTTGAATATTAGGAGAGATAACAAACATCTTTTTGGGACTAAAAATACTGGTAACATGTTATGGAATTTGTTTAACTTTGAAAAAAAAAATTATATGAGGCTGGACTTATTCGCAAGATGTGTCAACAGCACGGTCCTTGTCATGTATATTTCCCTTGGCAGGTGCAACCAAATGGCATCAGAACTTCCTACAGTTATGATAAGTGAAACAAATGGACAAATGAGTGGGGGAAAAAAGAGAAGGCAGAGTAGGATGGGGAAAATGCCCTTTCCCCTGAGCTGTTGAGAGCAGTTAGTAGGTCTAGAGGAGGCTTATACGAGGAATGTTAAGTGAAAACATGATTTTTTTAAAATAGACAAGACTTACCCTTCTATGGCACATGATAAAGTATTTTAAACTAATTTTGACCTTATCAAAGTGATATTTCTGTTTTAACATACCTTTGATCTGTAGCTTGCTGTTCTCGAAGCTGAAGAAGAGATAACTCAATTTCATTTTCTTTTCTTCTCAACTGAGTTTTCAGGATCTCAGCCAAGTGCTCTAACTCTTCTATCTGGCCTCTCTGTGACTGAATAACATTTTCTCTGAAATAAAGAACCTTTACAAGAATTTGTAGGTTGAGGAAAAACCTGCAATATTCAAGATCAGTATAAAGAAAGTTCTTCATAATAAAGAGCAAGTAGAAGTTAAACATTTTTAGCTTAAGTGCCTCTGCATATAGTGAATAGCAGATTAAATGGGACGATGTAGAAATGCATCTGGAATTATTCAAAATACTGCTTTTTTATACAATAATGTCTTAGATGATAACCTGGACTTCAGTTCAATTCAATTCAGTATTTATTGGTTACCTACTACGTACTCCACAATTTGCCCATCTTCAGATAATTTATCCACTTTTGGTTTTCCCTTTGTACATCTGGCTAGACCACGCAATTTAACACTTTAGAGAGAGCAAGGATTTGCAAAACGTAACAGAGGTTTTTTTTGCTTGTATTTATTTATCTCTACCATGTCTGGCAGCATCCCAGTGTAATGAGCCTCAGAAAACTCCTATGAACCCTGTTTTTTCAGCTGATTAGCAGGGAACAAGATTGGGTTTAGTCTTTTGGTTTTATTCCTTTGCAGACTAGTTATTGCTGTAACTGGTATTTAAAATATTCAGAGGCGCCAGGGTGGCTCAGTTGGTTAAGCAACTCCCTTCACCGTCTCAGGCCCTGATCCTAGGATGCTGGGATCAAACCCCATGTCAGGCTTCTTGCTCAGCAGGGAGCTTGCTTCTCCCTCTCCCTCTGCCTGCTACTCTGCCAGCTTGTGCTTTCTCTCTGTCAAGTAACTAAATAAAATAAAGATAAAAATAAAATATTCAAAAGAAGTAATCTGAAGTTTTCATTATTCTTAAGCAACCGTCTAAAGCATGATGCTATTTCATGTTTTCTTTCCTCATTCAGAACTGTTACTTTTTGATGATCCAGGTGAAGGCCTGTAGGTAAGGTGGAACCTTATCTTCATTTGTGTGATTCACAGACACGCAAACCATGAGGCTTTGATTAACTGGGAAAGTAAGCTAAATGTGGCAGAAGTAACTTTTGAAACCATAGTATGATGAAGAATGCAGTACCACAGAATCACAGTGAAATAAAATCTGAAATCCATATGTATTTGATAACTCCAAACTTTTAAGCCACTCCCTCTAATTCTTTTTTTTTTTTAACCGCAAAAAGGCTAATTAATTCAGGATCTAAAAAAAAAATTACCTGTAATTTTTCTGAGAATGGAAATGTTGCCCCTAAAGCTTATACTATTCTAAATGACTGGGCTTTATGCCATTTGTTTGGGGAGAAAATTATAATATAGAGGACTATTCTATGAACCTCTGCACTGATGTAGTTGGTTAAGTTGTTCATTTTCCTCATTTTATTGGAAACATGTTATATAATAGCTGTTCTTACCCCACAGATCTAGATATATTTAGTGGAGCAAGTTATTTGTACATAAACAAATTGTGTTTAAAATAAAGAAAAAGGGAGGGATCAAAAAAGACATGATCAATAAACAAAGTTCTAAAATTACCACAAAAAGAATACATACAAATTTCTTATTTCTCCTTTGGCTTCTTCAAGTAAATTGTTGCCATATTTTGTAAGCATGGGTTGTAGAGTTTCTGCTACATCGACATCTTGGAATCTAATACCTAAAAGTCAATCAGTAAGATTATAAAAGTGAAGTTGGGAAAGCAGGACTCTTGATTTGCTATCATGAAGAAATGGGCAATAGAAGAAAATTTCTTAAGTACTGAGAGATATGTGTTCCATAGTACAGAGAATCAGAAATCCATTGCCAAAGGGATTACCGCTGGCATTAAATGTACAGAGCATCAGGTATTGCCCATTAAACAACTTCTACTATGGAAACCAAATGATCTAGAAATAATTTGGTTCAACTTAGATTTAGAGCATCTAAATTTATTTCTGAAAAAACTAAATTCAGGGTTTTATAATATAAGCTAAAGTATGAAGGAAAAATATTTCAAAATCTTGACTTTTTTTTTTAGTATTTTTGATATAGTTTTTAAAAGATTTTTTTTTTAGTCATTCACATTCCTTGACCTTACGTATTGAACCTTGTCTTCATTTGCGTGAATCACAGATACTGTAAGTGTAAGTCAAAATGTTTCCTATACTTTGGTTTCTTCCATCTCAATAAGAAAATCCCTATTTAAACAAAGGCAATTAAAAAAGAGATCACCAATGAGATTTCTTTAAATAAAACATTTTGCTGCTGCCCTTAAAATATTTTTCTTATAAAAATAGGTGCATTTTTTACAAGTCTACTCCCATTGTTAAAAATGAGACATAATTTTAATTACATGTTTACACTTACAAAATAAATTACTAGAGCTTAAGGTAGATAAAATATGACAAATAATTCAGATTTCTAATGGAGCATAGTCTCAGATATAAGGTACAGATAAAGTACATTCTTTTAAGAAAGTTTATTTTTAATTAGAATAGAACTATTGTTTGCTGTTTCCAAAATTTTCTCTATCTATTATAGTCCAGATTAAAGACCAGAAAAGGCTCTGCCTAAAACCATTAAAATAGTTTACTGTGTTAAAATTTGCCAATTTTGGCATTAATGCTAATTCTTAAGCTTTTCGTACATAAATTATGGAAAAACTAAACATCACTAGCAAAATTTAAAAAAGAATCTACTTATCCTTAAAGTAATCTTAAAACTTACTGTGTACCATACACAGTTGTAAGAATCTTTGTTCTACTGGTTCCTCACTATAAGGATTGTTTCCACATTATAACGATCACATCTCAAACCAGTACTTCCCATTCCTTCTCTTGACCAGGCACATATAGAAAATGGGAGTATGTGTTCAGCAGCTTGGGGGCAAGAGTGCCTATAGCCAGGGCGAGTCTAGTGTGCTCACCTAGCCACCCTACGCTTTGATACTTCTGACAAGCATGGCGTAACTTCCGGATCCAAAGGTGACGGTCTTGAAGAGACTGTTAAGGTTACTAAGGCATCAACCCCAATGATGGTGCCTCAAGTTTACTCAGAAGGGTAATGGCTGACAAAGTATTCATCACTGTGTAGTGCTCTGTAAAGTTTTACGCCTTGGACTCTGTACCAAGCCCTGAGAAAGGTCTGAATTACTAAGAGTATATAAACACCAGTAGAAATTTAAACTTTGTAGTCACATTTGAAAGACTGTGCTGCTCTGTGGCTCTTTTTTTCTTTTTCCCTATAGGAGGAAACTTCCACCAGACTCTTCCATTCAAACGGCAATTCATAGCAGTACATTAGTTTGTCATGTTAACCTACCATTTGGGCATTGCTTCTTTGTTTAGTATAAAAGACCTTACAAGCCATACAGATCGTCTTGCCCTGCTTCAGTCACAGATGACCCAACAAAGGCTGAGAGAGGGTAAGCAACTTTTGAAAGATAAAATACACTACCGTGGAGTTGCCATCTTTTGACTTTTTTTCTCATCTGGTGTTATCACTCCGTTTTACAGATGGGAAAAACGAGGCTCTGAGAGGTCAAGCACTCTCTTCCAAGGAGAAAGTTAATTAGCAGCAGGGTATTTTCTAATTTATAATGCATTGTGATTGCTTTGGTTATATCAAAGTCTATTGCCAATCTCACAAACTAGGCATAGCTGAGCCCTTTCATCTTGCAGCTGCCTCTTGCCTCTGTGGAGGCCTTACTGACTTCAAGGGAACTCTGCCTAAGGAAGAGATAGTGTCAATATTTTGGCTTGGAGAAAAAATACAAGAAAATTTTCTCCTTTTCGGTCTATAAGGCATTTTTTTGTCCTCCTTGATGAGTTGAAAGTTTTACATGACTTTTTGTGTCCCTCAAAATGTTGGGTCTTTATGTGAAGCATTTCCAAACGAACATCAATCACAGCTACAATTTTATTTCCTTCCCTAGTAGTTGAAATTTAAAAAAAGTTACTGAAACTATTGATTGACTTTTCACCTCATTATAAATAAAGTTTGTCCATGGGTGGGGAGAATTGGGAATTTTTATTAGAAAGATTCATGTTCTTTCTATATTATGTTTCATCTATGCAACTGAACTGTTGTGTGGGTAGGTTTTAGGTGATTCACTCTCAAAATGAGGAAAGTGATTGATTGATCTATGATCATTTTTGGAGATGGAGGAGATCTTTATGGTCAGTTGCTTAAATCCTTTTATTTCGCACGGAAGAAGCAAGTTCAGAATCACTAGATGACTTGTCCGAGGTCACCAGGGAGTATGTAGAGGAGCAAGAACACAATTTTTTAAACCCTTAGTTATGTGCGCATTGCACTGTCATGCTGCCTCCACACAATGAGAAATTTAAGCAGTTCCACAAATTTTATAAGAGGTCTTTTGACAAAGAAATTAAGTGTGATTATTCAAAACAAAGTATGATCGTAAAAAGCAAACTAGCTGGTTTCCCTATTTGCCTGAGTCAATGTAATTTCTGTCTGCAATACAGAAAACCAACTCAAATTACACTATTTTATATAGTTTCACACACGTCTCTCATATCAGGATAGATAATTAATGTTTTATTAATTATCAATGTTTTACTCAACAAATGCTTCTCATGTTAATATTAACATTTTATCAAAATGCAAGTCAAAAAACTACTTTTCTATTTCTAAAGGTACTTAAAAACATGCGAAATATAGAAATACTGTGTGTGCGTGTGTGTGTGTAAAACTACCTACTAAAAGACTGACATTTAGGATTTAATATAAGCTTATTTTACCTTTCCTGGGGCATGCCTGTAAGCCTGCATTTTCATGCGCTTTTCTACGCCCAGTGTTAACACGAGACTGCACATAATTGTACGGCGTTTGCCTGTGACCCTGGATTTGAAGTTGCTGTTTGGCTGAAATGAGTCTGTTCTTGAGGACTTCATTCTGTCTTTCAAGCTCATGAACTTTCTCCTGAAGCTGCTCCATCATTTCTTCCATTTCCACATCTCGTCCCAGCCGCTTGGGGCCGCCACCAACCCGCTCATATCTTTTCTTGTCATTAACTAGCCGTATTAACTTGGTGGCCATTCTAGGGAAATAATAAAAAGATGAAAAGGAATGTGAGAAGTCAGCATAAAATGCATTCTGTTGAAAGGAACATAATCACTGTGAGGACTTCAGTGCAGAACCTGAATAATAAATTTCAGGTTTTGATGTAACTATTACTGCCTGTGAAGAATCCTTTGATGATAATTGAAACCACTGGGCAACAATCTGCTTTATAGCACTGACAAATAACAGTTTCCTAAGGCTTATCATTTAAGGTTAGTAAAGAGAGGACACATATTTACTCCATATGTTCCTCAAATGCAATTTTTAACGCATGACCTTATGTAGGAATGCTGTATGCACTTAAATGTAGCTACAGATTGTGGATGTGGTGGGTTAGAGATGCGAGCCACAGTAAGCTACAACTTTTGAAAAGTGTGTTAAGACTGCAGCATTTAGATGATATGTTTTAGGTGAACTGTTTTCAGGTTCTCTAAGATTAAGACATATTACAAGTACAAAAATGTTAGGATGCATAGGTAGACACAGATAAAGAGCCCGGTGAAAAATTCAGAGAAACCGAAATGGGCCGCTTAGTGCCTGAGAAATGTTCATGTTTAATGGTAGAAAACACTCAGATGCAGAAAGTATTATTTTAACGCTACCTTTAAATTTAGACATAAGTTGTGCTTTTGACATCTTAAGAGTTTATACCTTTTAGTCTTTTAAGTTTTGATAAAAACTGGTTAGACAGAACAAAAGACAGAAAGGGCACATGGGGGTGATGTAATATACACGTACGGAAAACATGCCTGACAGTGAATGGAAAAATCTTGGCAGGACAAGAAAGAAAAGGTGGCTTTGATGAGACACACAAGTTCAAGACTTTACAAAATTGGTCGCACATCTTCAATAGCTGATTCTAGTTTACAGTGAATCTATTTTTATAAAGAGCCAGACGGAGATTGAAAATAAAAACTCACTTCATTTTTCTTTAAACGGGGTTTGCTTTATTTTAGCATGGTTATGGACAGAAGCTTTTACTTAAGAGAACAAAAGTGAAATAAAAAAATCCTTAATGGCTTTGGGATGTCATAGAACAACCTTTTTTTGCCCTAAGCGGAGTCCTCTGTAAAAGCGGTAGTAATACACGTCTATCTACACTTCTGGCTACTCGGCCTACAGCATGTGGCATCAGGGAGAAATATGCATAACATAATCAGTTAAGATTGTTTTCTCTTTCCCTTGAGGCAAATCCATTAAACATGCTTTATAAGGGATATAGGATAATAAAAACCAAGATCCAAGAGGACCACAAACACTCTAGTAAAATAATCAATGGATTAGTTCCTTTTCCACCTAATCCACAAAATGATATATCATGGAGAAATTTGGGCAGGTATCATAAGCCCAGCAGAGCCACACACTCTATCTAGCTCTTTAATGAATTAAGGAACCTTACCCTGGCCCCCCCGATGGTTTAGCCATAGAAATATGGTTGCTGTCTAAATGAGATGTCAACCTAAACATCTGAATCTTTTGTTACAGAGAGACTTTCACTGCGATAGAGATCACATTCAAAAGACACAGGTTTAATATAAAAAAGCAGTCAACATGTGGAGAATCATAAATGACCCAAATTTTTAAGGAAAGAAAAGTACATCAGTAGAGTGGTTTTAAATTCCTTCAAGGATGTTCCAGGAAACTTTTTGTCAAGAAACAAGATTCTGTTTGTCTAGTAAAAGCAATAATTTTCATTTGTTTGATGTGGTTATTTTGTAGTATTAATGCATTATATGTGATCTGATACAGTTTGAGTACTAATTTAAAAAGGTGGTTTATCAGATCTACATTTATACGAATGTGATACTAATTACATCTTAAGGCTAAATTTTTTTTTTTTAAGATTTTATTTATTTGACACAAAGAGAGAGAGATCACAAGTAGGCAGAGAGGCAGGCAGAGAGAGTGGAGGAAGCAGGCTCCCCACTGAACAGAGAGCCCAATGTGGGGCTCGATCCCAGGACCTTGGGATCATGACCTGAGCCGAAGGTAGAGGCTTAACACACTGAGCCACCCAGGTGCCCCAAGGCTAAATTTCAAAGCAGTCTGAGGCACCTGGCTGGCTTAGTCAGTAGAGACGCAACTTTTAATCTTGGGGTTGTAAGTTCGAGCCCCATGTTGGGTGCAGAGATTACTTTAAAAAAAGGGGGGGGCACCTGGGTGGCTCAGTGGGTTAAACGCCTCTGCCTTCAGCTCAGGTCATGATCTCAGGGTCCTGGGATTGAGCCGCACATCCGGCTCTCTGTTCAGCAGGGAGCCTGCTTCCCCCTTTCTCTGCCTGCTGCTCTGCCTACTTGTGACCTCTCTCTGTCAAATAAAAAAATAAAAAAAAAAAAAAAAAAAAAAAAAAGAGCAGTTCTACACCTTCCTCTAGGTAGTGTCCGTGGTGTGAAATTCAAGATTTTAGAGCTTTGGGTCACAGTGGTTATTAGATTACTACTCTCAGGGCTAAGTAAAATAACATCCCAGGAGGTTAAATGGCTTGGATGTAATACCATAGGCCAGTGGCAGAGAAGTAATAGAACACATGCATACAGCTTGACTCCTAGCCGAGTCCTTTTTTCATTAAACTACATGGCTCATTATTAGGTTGTTTTATATTTTCTGGCTAGGACAAATTACTAATGAGGTCAAGGTTGTGAATTCAATTATTTTACTGACCAATTAGGCTTACAAAGGAAAAAAAAATTGTTTAGTGGTCATAGCGTACATTCCTCATTCGGATAGGACATGTGTGTGTTACTGGTCAGAAAAGGAATCAGGCAAGTGAGTCACAGGTTTTGAAAAAAGACACTATCATGACTCAAAAATGAACTCAAAGTAAAAGCCCCAAAACACAGCAGGTCAGTGGGTCATTAAAACAAAGTCCACCGAGTAGAACCTGAACTAGAATCACCCCTTTAGGATGCATTCTAAGCCCCACCCCTGCCTGACCCCCCCATCTTCTTTCTTCCATAGCTATCTCAGCTCTTCATTTAACCTAGAACATGAATATGAATACAGGCCTGTTGAAGCTTACAAATGGGAAGGTACGTTTTTGTTTTTAATGCCACACATTCAGAAGATAGTCTAAGTGTTTCTGAACAAGAAGGAATGAAAGACTATCTACTCTTAAGAAGTTATCCCAGCAGGGGCGCCTGGGTGGCTCAGTGGGTTAAGCCGCTGCCTTCGGCTCAGGTCATGATCTCAGGGTCCTGGGACCGAGTCCTGCATCGGGCTCTCTGCTCAGCAGGGAGCCTGCTTCCCCCTCTCCCTCTCTCTCTGCCTGCCTCTCTGTCTACTTGTGATCTCTCTCTGTCAAATAAATGAATAAGTAAAATCTTTAAAAAAAAAAAAAAAAAAAAGAAGTTATCCCAGCAAAAATTTTATGCACACAAATCAAGGGACAATGTTTCTTCAGAAACAGTAGGGACTCTATGAAATAGAGATTCTAGACTCATTCAAGCAAAGTTAAATATGTTCCAGATATTTGAAGTGATGTTTTCATTAGTAAACTCCAAACCTTAATGGAACATGCATTCTAACAAGTCAGAATAGCTAATTACTTTTTCAAAATTTCATTTTAAACTAAGGCATTTAAAAAACAGATGCTTTGGCCATTTGCTTATTAAACTATAAATATTAAACCAGAAGTTATTTATAGACATGCTATACTCATGGCACTCTTCGCTATTAGATCTTTCTTTCAAATAGCAACTTCAGACATAATTAACACTCATCATCTTTTTGGTTTATTATTCTAGTTTGTAAGATTTTCCATTTTTAAAAATTGTATTTATTTACAACCTGCCTTGTTCCAAAAAAGATTCCAGGTGGAGTTTTCAATTAAGTTTGTAAAAAAGCATATTCTCCAAACTTTACAGTGTCAGGAGAAAAAGCTAAAAGCTTTTTATCATAACCTTTTAATTTTATCCTCTTGCTTGCGGGCATGCTGTTTAAGCAAAATGTTCTCATCATGCAGACGCAAAAATCTGTCTTCCAGTTCCTCACGACTGATACGTGACACTGCCTGGCGAGACCTCATTGTCCGTGTTGTTGAAGTTTCTGTAAAAATGCCAAGGTAATTAATAGTGGGATTATTTAAAATAGTCTCTAAAAATTGTAACTGTTGATATTAATATAATCTCCGATGCACTCATCTCTTTTACTTTGTGACCCACAAATAAGATTGTTTTAAAAAATGTTATAGCATTGTTTATATCACCAATCAGAGAGGAGAATAATAATCTTTTCTATTAAAAGTTTACATGCAATATTAAGGATTTGAGTAATAACAATATCCATTCAAAATGGTATTTAAATAACCATTCTTTAAGAATGTAAGAGGAAAGTCTGATTCAATAAGACCTTTCAACTTATATGCTCAATGTTGAAAAAAAACAAATTAAAAGTCAGATTATCTAAAAGTTTTTTTTTTGTTTATTTATTTTTTTTTTTTTACAGAGGTAAGAGTTTTAACAATAATTTGGTGAACATAAGATATTTTTCAGAGCTATGTATGGGTTCTGGGTTCTAGAAAATAAACTAAAATTTGCAAGTACAAACAACAAACCTTCACAAATCATTTATAAACTTTCTTATACATTTTTAAAGGGCTTTCATACCTTTTAGCCTGTGTATATGATATTTTACATATGCTTAAATTTAGTATTTTCCATGTCACTAATTTGCAATCATCATCCAAAAGAATCAACAAATGGACAAAGGTTAAAGCCCCTATGGTGGGTTACAGAGGGCAAGAATTTAACTTAAGGTAGCGAATTCGAATAAACAGCTTTACACAATTAACATTTATTTGTATGTGAATACCTGGTACTCCACCAAAGATCTAAAGCAGAGCTAACACATACTTTTTACTTTCAAAAATAAAACCTGTATAGTCAAATTTATCATTTTCAATGAACAACGCATTGACCACCTTTCTGTGGTAGTTCAAGGTTGCCAGTTGAATTATTCTAATTAACGGGGGTAGTAAGACACCTTAGTGGAATATATTTTATAGAACAGCCGTCTTAATGACAAATGCAGTAGCATGACAGCAGAGCTGACACGTTGTATACACAAACAAAAACACAGCTCTACACTCTGAATTGTTCCTCAAAGCAATGTTTCTCATTCTCAATTCGAAAGTGATATTTTAGCTCTAGGGTAACCACTAAGTGATTAAAGGATAAAGGAAACCTTTAATGTATATTAATTTGATAAAACAAAGTCAGTATCACTTGGATAAACAAACCATTTTGAGATACTCTACTTGAAAGGCAAAAATTTTTAAATACGGCATTTCCTCCCCTATAAAATTTAAACATAAAGAAAAATTTTAATGGTGAATGTGATTTAAACCAGGCAATTCGGTTTGGAGGCTTGATACTCTCTGTGTAGTTTCTACTCATGTGTGGAATTTTAAAAAGATGATTTATAACAATTCTTTATCAGAACAGAGGGGGATTTTACATTTTCTATGAGCTGTTGATAATTGATGCATGCAGTAAAATACCATATGTTGTTCTAAACTCTCCATGTTCCTGTTTAGTCCAATCAAGAGCTATATAGTTACTTAAATGGCTTCGTTTGTAAGGATATCAGAAATACTTTAAATTAAAAGAAAAGAAGTTACTGATCAAAGTTCATAACGATAATAAATAACAGCTGGCCATACCTTGTAACCCTCCCATTCCAGAGAGGTTTAGACCTATATCTTTCACAGGCAGGTCTCCTGCCGTCTCATCAGTGGGACGAGACATGGCCTGTCTGTGGAGAAAAGAAAATTCAAATAAAATCCTTCCAACATATAATGTTAACTATGCAATGGAAAGAACCAAATAAAATGAATAAAGCATTATAATTCTAACAGACATCTATTGCCCACATGTGCTGCTTGAAGAAGGGGAAAGCTTCTCTTTTATAAGTAATACTACATTCAATCAGTGTTCCTTTCAACAATAAATTTCCTATAGTTTAAGTATATAGTTTCCTATCGTTTGCTTAAGAAACGAGGTAAGATTATCATTCTTCCTTCTTTTTTCTTGATCTGAACAAAAACAATTACCCCAAATTTAAGAAACACTTCCTCTCCATCCCCCACTCCCTTCTAACCCCCAAAGCAAGCAGGTATCTTGGAAAAAACCTAGTCAAAAAACCTGATTCAAATGCTTGTTCTATTGTTTACTAGCTAGTCAAGTCACCTAATCTCGCTGAGTTTCAGTTCCTTAATTTTATTTTTTTTTTGAAAAAGTCATTTTACTTTTCATGTATATACACACACATATATATATTATTTTTTATTTTTATTTTATTTTTAAAGATTTTATTTATTTGACAGACAGAGATCACAAGTAGGCAGAGAGCCAGGCAGAGAGAGAGAGGGGGAAGCAGGCTCCCCACTAAGCAGGGAGCTGTTGCGGGGCTCGATCTCAGGACCCCAAGATCATGACCTGAGCTGAAGGCAGAGGCTTAACCCACTGAGCCACCCAGGCACCCCTATATATATATTTTTAAAGTAAACTCTACCCCCAACACAAACTCGTGGCTCCGAGATCAAAAGTCACGTGCTCTACTGAAAACTGAGCCAGCCAGTTGCCACAGTTCCTTAACTTTAAAAAAATGGAGAAGAGGTATCTTATAGAGTTATTCTAAGAATGAGATGGTAAATCAAAAGTAGTTAGCCCATTTGCCTGGGATGTCAGTATTACTTGAATATTAATTTTTAACTTGGTGTACAAATGAGTGGGTAGGTCCCAGTTTTGTGAAAGATGTTTCATAAATTGACCAGCTGAATTTGTTTTTGTTCTGTCCTTTCTTTGTTGCCATGAGGCCTAGTCCCAGGGCTTCCCACCTCAACATACAAGCTGTCCAGTTAATTCTGGCATCTTTACAGTTTCTATTCTTCAGAGATGCACCACAGTAACTCAGTTTTGTACGTGGATATAAATGGTCTGTGCATGTCTAGGATATGGAAAAAAAAAAAAGAGTTTATATTTTATTTCAAACCACCCCAAGAGCCAAATGCAAACAAAGTGAAGGTGCCCTAAGGCAGAGCTTCTCAATCTCTAGAATGGTGGGCCTAGAATGTAAAGTCCAAGAGAATACCCAGCTTATTTGTCTTGTGCACCTCTGTATGGTATTCTCAGAGGCCAACACAGAGCTTGGCACACAGCAGGCATTTGCTAAATAGTTGCTGAATGAAATGGAATCCATGGAGCTTGAGGGTCTGTAGACCCGAGAGATGGTTTATAACATCTTGTATGCGTCTATGTGTGTATGCAATATCTTTAGGAAAAGGGCTCCTAACCTTTATTATAACTTGTCAAAGGTGGAGAACCACTGCATTCAGCTGTGGCATTAAACAACGAACAGACATATACTTGAGAGATCACCTCCTACTTCTTTTGGCAACACTGCTACAGGAACGATCAGTTTTGGGAACCAAATCATCAAGCAGTTTAAACACAGGACACTTGTGAAAATGGTAACTCCGCCATGATAGAGTTACAGTAGCTTTCATAATAATGGTAGTGGGATTAACATTTACTGAATGCTTACTAAAATGTGCCAGGGGCTCTTCTAAGTGCTCCGTTAATGTGCATTAATCAAGTATCTCACAATATCCCTATGAGGTTGTTACTCAAATGATTCCTACTTTACAAATGAAAAAAAGAAACAAAAACAAAAACAAAAAAAAAAAAAACAAGAGGAAGCTTTGGTAACTTGTCCAAGGTCACACATTTAAGTAGGGGTTATCTGGTCATATTTTTGATTGTCTTGATTGGGAAGGTGGAAGGCAGCGTTACTGGCATCTAGAGGCCAGAGATGATGTTAAATGTCCTGCAGTGCACAGGAACCACAACAAAGAATTATGTGGCCCCAAATGTTAAGAGCGCCGAGATAAACAAACCCTGTGCAATGCTGTTACGTATCTTCGACATCAACTAATGTTATCCCTCCTTGCTCACCATGCTCACTCAACATTCCTTTAGGTTCCTCAAGGCCCTGGTACCCTCGTCTTGCTCAAAGCCTTTGCATCAGCTGGCTCCTCATTCTTTGGGGTTCAGCTCAAATGTCACTTCCTCAGAGATGCTTTCCCTGATCACCCTCTGTCAGAGTACTCTTCCTCCCAAAGTCATCACTGTTTATTTCCGTCGTAACAATGATCATACCTAAAATTTCTTATTTGTTCACTAGCTCATTTCTACTTCGTCTCCACTAATAAGGTATAAGCATCTCGGGACCGGTATCAGTCCTATGCACAGCGGTAGGAAACAGTGTCTGGGTCAAGGCGGGCACCGAGATTAATATTTACTTCATGATTAAAAGAATACCTAGCATTGAGACTAACACGGTAAACAGGAACTCCATCTTTATGTAGTTAATAGGCTATGGGGGTAACCAGACGATAAACAAATAATTATAAATAATTAAGCAAACAATAGGCCATTCAGGAGGCTTAAGGGTCTACCAACGAACCCTTCAACCAGGGCTAACGAAATAACTGTGTTTATGTGCCCTTCTACTTGAGGTACTTGGATAGGCACGGCAATGATCATCAACTCTCATCACCTAGGGTTTCAGGGTAGGATGTAAAATTTCAAACCGGTGCTGGGCGTGGGGATAATGGGCGGGCTGTGATTCAGGCCTGGGTATGTGGTGTCTCGTGTCGGGCTGCTTTTCAGGCGAGCAGAACTCTAAGGCCTTCTCTAGGACATAGGGCAGACCCCAGGACCCCGACCCATGCTGCACGTAGAGGGTGGGCCACCTCCGCCCCCCTCGACTCCCCCGGAGTACTCACCGCCACTCTCTCCCCGCAGCTAGCTACCGTTGCTATAGCGCCGACGGCGTGTTGGGCGCCTGGCGGAGAGGAGCACGGGAAAAACATGGCAGGCTCCGTTGCCTCCTGGGAAATGTAGTTTTGCTCCTGCTCTAACCCGCCCGCTCGCTGCGTAGATTTCGGCCCTGGGAAATTCTCGTGCCCCAGACCCCGAGGCGCTCTCGAGCTTTGCCGCCTTGCATCTTGGGAATGGTAGTTCTCGTGGATCTGACGGAGAACGGCGCTGGGCGGGAGCAGGATGCCGAGAGAACTACAAGCAGGAGGCGGGGTCCAGGGAGAGGGATCTACGCGGCTAGCAGTGGCGAAGACGGCTGTAGCGGCAGCATGAAGCGGACCCCGACCGCCGAGGAACGAGAGCGCGAAGCTAAGGTATGTCGGCCTCTCCGTGGTCTGGGATCCTTCGTGTACTTGTAGCTAGGGGCCGGGAGCCGGAAGGGCTTGGTTGCATGGCCAGCAGACTCACAGTCTTAAGCCAAGGGATGACAGGGCCTTGTCAATAAGGGAACCAGAGACATTGGGGGATACACATTCATGCTGGTCAGGATGCGGGCCTAGTCGTGTTGGATCTGCTCACCGGCGAGAATCACGACACCCATTTCCTTACCCTGCTTTTCTTGGTCTTTGTGGCAACCCTGATGCCTCAGTTTACCGGACTGTGATCATCACAGTTGTTCTTTCTCTTAGTAATGGTTTCCTAGGACTGAGATTGGTTCAGATGAAGTATCTGTGCGATCAGATGTGTTTATTGGGAACATTTGTCTCAGTGGCTGCCTGTTGTGATCTGTGTCTTCAGCACAGAGGAGATGAATCTAACTACAGGAAAAATCCTGTTTTCCACCTTTGGGGTTGCGCTTCTGGTAGTTGCTATTCCATGGGTGGCAATAATAACATCTATGGTGACTTCCTTTTTTTTTTTTTTTAAGCATTTATTACATCTCAGGATCTACGTTAAGTTGGTAAAATTTATAGTATTTCATGTTGTTACCATAGCAGATAGATATTATGCAGATGGGGTAATAACAGTCCTGTTTTACGGATGAAGACTTAAGGTTCAGAAGAATTGAGTGTTCTCCTTTTTCTCACTTCCCAAATCAAGTTCTGTTGGTTTGTTTACACATGTCTGTGACATGTCCACTTTTTCTGTCTCCACCACCTTGGACCAAGTTTCCATTATCTCTTTAATGGATGTCGCAATGGTCTCTGTATTGGTCTACTCTTATTCTACACCCTTACAACTCCCTTGTCCTCTTTCTTCCACACAACCAGTCCTTTGCACACTATGGAGAGTGATCTTTTCAAAGTGCAAGTCTAATTAGGTCCTTTTCCTTCCTCCCCCCTCTGTCAACCACCTGTTTAAAAATCTTCCATGATGTTCTGTTGCTCTTCGGAGAAAGAGAAGACTTCACATGGCATACAATGTCCTGCATGGTTTGGACCCTGCGTGTTCCTACAGCCTCATGAGACATGACAGTCTCCCTGTTCTCTACCCATCAGCCACTTTGTCTTTCTTAAAAGGCCCTCTTTCCTGTTTTATCTGGTTACATAGCCTTTACCCATGCTGCTGTGTTGTCTACTCTATATTAGGCAAGTATTAGAAGTAAGGACCAATGGGAACTAAAACAGACACAGTTCTTGTGCTTGTAGAATTTAGAATCGTACAAGTGAGTTTGTCTTAGGGCAGTACTTCTGTGGATTTAAAATATAAAATCTGGCGGTGTTTGGGTGGGCACAGTTGGTTAAGCATCTGCCTTTAGCTCAGGTCATGATGTTGGGGTCCTGGGATCGATCCCTGCATCGGGCTCTGTTCAGTTGTGAGTCTGCTTCTCCCTCTCCTTCTGTGACCTTGCTTGCTCTCATTTTCTCTCAAATAAATACATGAAATCTTAAAAAATATATATACAAAATCTGTCCTATAATGACCCGAGTTATAACAAGTTTTCACCAGGGACCTGAAGTTTTCATGCTAGAGTCTGCCTGTGATATGGACAATATATTAAAGATGGATTCAGAGAGGAGAGGATCCTTCTGAATTAGTCTACAACAGTGCTGAGAAAGAGATGAATGTCACCCAATGGCATTGTGTATGTTGTCTTTCTCACCTTTTAGCTTTACGTTTATGTTACTCATTCTGTTGATTTATTGAGCGTCCATTATTTGCTAGACACTGGAATTATGACTTAAACTAAGATAGAATCCCTGTGCAAAGGAGCTTTTACTCTACTGCAACCTTACCCTTTGCCTGTGAGATAATGACTCATGTCATCCACATTTATGGAGTGGAAACCAAGGCTTGAGGAAATCATGACTTGCCCAAGGCCACTTGGTTGCTGTGTGGAACTAGGACTCAGAACTAGGTCTTCTGACTCAAAGCTTTTTTCCACTTTCAACATGTGAAACACGTTGAGTAGGTAGAGCAAGTTGTCTTCCTCTTTACTTTAAAGAATTCCTTTGATACTTATTTAAATTTGCATATGAACATGTTACTGGTTAGAACAAAGTATAGGCAATTAAGTTTTAAAGGTTAAGCGGAAAATGGTCAGTTATTCATGAACTTTCTTATTTTCTAATTGACTTTATTGAGGTATAATTTATGTACAATAATTTGCACGCATTTATAGTGTACAATTTGACAAGTTGTGACAGGTGTATACACTTGTGACACCACCATCATAGTTGACATAGAGAACCTTTCAGTCCCTTCTAGAAATTTCATCTTGATTTACGGTCAGTGTCTCCCCCACCTTGGCTCCCAAGCAGCCATCAGTAATGTTTTCTGTTACTGTAGACGAGTCTGTATTTTCTAGGATTTCATATAAATGGAAACAAACTGTGTGTACTGTTGAGTCTGTCTACTTCCACTCAGCATTTTTGAGATTTTTGAGATTCATTTATGTTGTCCTGTGTATTAGTAGTTCATTCCTTTTTATTGCTGAGTGATGATTTACTGTATGGTTTTACCACATATTGTTAATTCATTCGCCTGTTGTTGAAGTACATTTGGATTGTTTCTCGTTTGGGGCTGATTATGTAAAAAAACTGCTATGACCATTCACATATAAGTCTTTGTCTTTGTTTCTTTTGGATAAGCACTCAGGAATCCAATTGCTCAGTTCTATGTAAGAAACTGCCAAAGTGATTCTGCCACTTGCATTAGTTTCCTAGGGCTGCCTGAGCAAGTTCCCATGAACTTGGTGTCTTAAAACAACAGACATTTATTCTCTCTTAGTTCTAAAGGTAAGTCTGGATGCAAGGTTTTCACAGGTCATGGTCTCTCTGCAGGCTCTAGGGGGAGGATCCTTTCTTGCTTCCTTTAGCTTCTGGTGACTCCTGGTATTTCTTGGTTTGGGCAGCAAACCAGTTGGCTTCTGTGTTCCCACGGCCACCTTCTCAGTGTTTTGTGTGTGTGTGTGTGTGTGTGTGTGTGTGCGCGTCAAATCTCCCTCTCCTTTCTCTAGTAAAGACACTGGTCGTTATATTTAGGGCTTACCCTAAATCCAGGATGATCTTAATCTCAGGATCCTCCGTGTAATTACATCTACAAAGACCCTTTTTCCAAATAAGATCACATTTACAACAACCGTGGGTTAAGATTGGACATATCATCTCGGGGGATGTTATTCACACCCAGTACACCATTTTATATCTTCCTCAGCTGTGTATGAGAATTCTAGTTGTTCCATGTTCCCACTGATACTTAGTATTGTCAGTCTTTAAAATTTTAGCCATTCTAGTGGCTGTGTAGTGGCATCTCCTCGTGGCTTTAATTTGCATCTCAGTGACGACTAATGAAGCTGAGTATTTTTTTAAAAAGCTTTGGATGTATAACTTATGTACTATAAAACATACGTCTTTTAAGGGTACAATTCAGTGATTTCTAAAATATTCACAGAGTTGTGCAATAATCACCATAATTTCATTTTGGAACATTTCCATCATCTACCAAAGAAGATGTATATTCGTTTGTAGGTTATTCTCCATTCCACCTCTTGTCCCTAGGCAGCCACTGATCTTTCTCTGTTCTCCAAAGTTGCCTTTTCTGGAGATTTCATGTAAATGGAGTCAGACAATATGTTGATCTTTTGTGTTTGGTTTCTTTCATCCAATACTTTGTTCCTGTTTATTATTAAATAGTATCGTATTCCAATGTATGACTATATCATCTTTTATTTAATCCATTCACCAATTGATGGCTATATGGGTTTTTTATCCTTTTTGGCTATTATTAAAAATGCTGCTGTGAACATTCATATTCTCCTTTTCGTACGGACACGTATTTTCCTTTCTCTTGGGTACAGGCCTAGGAGTGGAATTGCTGGTCACGTGGTAAATCTGTATTTAACTTTTTTTTTTTTTAAAGATTTTATTTATTTATTTGACAGACAGAGATCACAAGTAGGCGGAGAGGCAGGCAGAGAGGGGGGGGGGGATGCAGGCTCCCTGCTGAGCAGAGAGCCCGATGCGGGGCTCGATCCCAGGACCCCGGGATCATGACCTGAGCTGAAGGCAGAGGCTTTAACCACCCAGGTGGTTAAAGAGGCTTTAACCACCCAGGTGAGCCACCCAGGCGCCCCTGTACTTAACATTTTAAGAGACTGCTGTATTGTTTCTTTGGTCTGAAGGTTTGAGTCCTCCCCAGATTTTTATGTTGAAACCCTAATCCCCAAGGTCATGGTTTTGGGAGGTAGGGCCTTTTGGAAGTGATCAGATGATTAGGAATGGGATTAGGGCCTTTATGAAAAAGGCCTGAGAGAGCTCCTCATCTCTTCTGCCATGCGAGGACACAGAAGTTTGGAGTCTTCCGCATGGAAGAGAGTTCTCCCTGGAACCCGACCATGCTGGTACCAAAATCTTGGACTTCCAGCCTCCAGAACTATGAGCAACACATTTCTGCTGTTTATAAGCCACGCAGTCTGTGGTATTTTGTTAGAGTAGCCCGAATGGACTAAGACATTGTTTTCCAGTGTGGGTGCGCCATTTTGTTTCCACCGGCAATGCTTGAGGGTTCCAATTTCTTTTTCTTTTTTTTTTTTTTTAAAGATTTTATTTATTT